TTCTGCCCACATAGCAAATCAGCGTCTCGGTGTCACCCTTCCAGAATCAGTGTTTGGATAGCTTTTGACAGTCAACAGTCGCAGAAGACTCGATTCCGACTCGGGCTCTCAGGAATCAGAGTCGAATCCGATACCCTTTTTTTTCCGAAGCGACCCTGCCGGCAGAATCCGATTCGCTCTCCATCTCCAATCCCCCACAGGTGGGATTAAACAAGTATATTTTTACACATACTCACCTGCACAGACCACATGGAACATCATGGAAACCCCCAAAAACCCACTCCTCGCTGTGGAAAAAGGTCGACGACCGGTCGACCTCGACACCGGGGCGCGTTTGGGATCGGTGCTTCCTCGCGGACGGAAGGACCGTCGTGCTCGGCTCCGCGAGGTCCCGCGTTGCGTTGGTGCGGTGATGTGCTATGCTGGCGCCACTGGAAGAGTTCGTGGAGAGCCCCAGATTCGGCGACGGTGACGGGCGGAGCCAAGGCAAGGCAACAAGCCAGGCTTCGATGTTCACAGCATCTTTTGCGTAGCAGCAAACACCAATTTGCTTTGCCCCTCGTTTGTAGACCACAGGCAGGCGCGCATTGGGTTGCCATAGGCATCCATAGGTGCAACATTCACAAGTCCCAACTTTTGCCACAACATCATTGTTTCTGGTGCCGGAGTGTCCATTTTTCCGTTGGAGGCAGCAGGTGACCGTTGCGGAGCAATCAGTTTGGAGTTATCCAAAAAGGATTTATGTAACGCAATCTGTGTTCTTCTTTGCCAGTCACGTAGCAGTCTCGCTTTTTTACTGTTCACACACACACGTGGCAGCCATGGCCCAAGATGGATGGCTCTTTTTGAACAGCGTTCCTCTCTCCCAGGTTGGCGCTGCTATTCGTTCTCCTTTTGGTTTCAGCTGCATCGTCGGGTGTCTCAGACAGTCGCCATTCACGTGCAGCCAAGCAGATACCTTGAGATCTGTGTTGAGATATTTTTCTGCATGGAGTAATAAGGCTGTTCTAGAGATGCTGTTTGCTCATCAGCAAAGCCGTGGAGATCACTTATATATGCATTTGGAAATCCGTCTGCTTGGAGTTAATCAACATAAAGACACTTGCAGTGCTCACCAGTCAATTCTGGTTGTTTGATGCAACTTGACAGCATCACGGGCTTCAACATGTTGCATTCTTGATTCCAGGATCATAGGTCCAAAGAAGGCATTCCTTCTTTGGACCACCCCCACTGCTGGTGCCAGGACTGCTGCCTTCGTGCTGGAGTGTTGTATGGACTCCACCACGGGTGCTGCCATCGCCAAGTCAGTCGTCAGGCAGATGCCGGTCGTCAGGGACCGGGGAGTTGGTCGTTGTGAAACCGCCTGAGTCACTCCACGCGTCTCGTGTAGCTCCGAACGAAAATGTTGGAAGAGGTACATAAGGCAGCAAAACCCCACAGTTTGGAAGAAGTGGACTTCCTTGTACCGGTTTGGTTTCGAGTTGAACTGTCGGTTCAAGCCTTTGTATCCTTGGATTGGAGCTTTTTTGGGCCCAGACCATGCAATTTGATCCAAGGGTGGGGACATGGCGAGCAGACTGGAGATTGCTGACTTGAACTCTATTGGCATTTGTCACGAAGGTAGCGAAAAGGGGGGGCATTTTGATTTTCCCCTGATTATTTCGGATTGGTTGTTTCTTTTCAATCCAGCTCAAGCTGGCCACACTGTGCAGGTGGATTGTAGTGACAGCGAAGTTGCTGCTGGTGGCAGCACCTCGGTATGAAATAAAGGGCAGGCCTTCCTTGCGAGACATCCCAGCACCAGCAACGATCCGCAGATCTCGAGTTCACTCACCAACGATCCGACGCACCCCTTCGGATGGCGAAAAACGGTGTGCCGGGCGTGGAGGTTTGTGTGCAGAAAAAAGGTACCATCTAAGAGCTACCTCAGCTACTGAAAACCCCTATTGGCCACGTTTCCGGTCCTCCCGGTCCTGTGCAAACCGAGGCTTTGCTGAGCCTCTTCTGCGCATCGGCCTCATGGTTTGTGCCGATCCGCTCCCTGCTGCGCATTGCTTGGCGCTCCAGCTGTGGGTGGCGGCGCACAGCACCCAAGCACTGGGCCTTCTTCCGAGGTGCGGACGGCGTGGACGCAGGTGTGGACGGCGGGAGGGTGGGAAGAAGGTGGTTGGAGAAGAGGAAAAGGGGCTCCTCCTTATGGGATAGGATTTGGTGTATCCCAAGTTTGTTGTGTATCTGAAGCATACATTATTCATTGTGGTTCAATTCGGTGAAAATTCTTTCTTTCTAGTAGAGTTTCTTTCAGTCTTCCTACTCTCTCTACATCAAGAGGCTCTTTGTCAAGCCACGATCTCGAGTCTTGTTACCTTCCATTTGTCGTTGGCAGTTGAAAGCCAACCGCCCGAAGTGCCAGCCCAAGGGCAGAGCGCAGCTTGGCTTGGGATCTCAATTTGGTCGCCATGTAAGTCAAACCCCCAAGGGCCCCAGGCCCCATTGATTGGGCATGGCATTGGTACCGACTACTTTTCTTCTCATAGGTCTGGAAGAGTACAGGCAGGATCTTTTGAAAGCAAACCCTACACAATCACTAGCACTTCCTTTTTGATTCCTGCAAAACTTGTATAAGTATTTCCTTCTTTTTGGCCCAGAGGCCGGCTTTGAAGGCTTGCAACTCTGCAACAGATGTTTTGGAGACTCACAGACTCACAACTCCCAAGCTGATGATTGGTAATTTCCAAGCGCAGCAGGGTAGTTGTGCTCCCTCCACCCCGCAGTGAATGTGTTCACGCGGGGTGGGATCAACAGATCCTATGTGGAAGAGAAAATCTGTAGAACGACGAACGACGTGAAAAGTTTGAGACAAGCATTCGCCAAGGTCCCTTTTTCTGGAAAATCGCTGCCCTAGAAAGTTGGGCCAAAGCCTCTTGGGCCATTTTGGCTGCATGTGGGAGTATCTTTCGTTGGAAAGACCTGTGGCCAAATCCTGCACCATGACCTGTGGCCAAAGGTTCGTCCGTCGTCGTCATCTCTTCAGGTCACCTCGACGAGCCTTTCTTCGCGTCGCAAAAACTCAGGACAGATCAGCGGGCCACCTGGGCCACGTGCAAGAAGCATGAGGTGCGCCGGAGCTGAAAACACACACGGTGTCGCTTCACGTGGAGTCACGTGGTGTCGGACGTGGAGCCACGTGTCGTTTTGGTTTCGTTGTCGAGCTGCCACGTCATCATTCATTAGAGTGCAGTTGGAAGTGGTCATTGTTCGACGGTACAGCTTTGTTTGATCGATTTGCAAGTTACTGTGTGAGTTTATAATATTGATGTGGGAATAGCCGGACAATGTGGTCCAAGAGAGGTGAGCGTTTGTGAGCCATGTTCTATGTCTACTTTCTGGAAGCGCCCAAAGCCGGGAGGGGTTGCACCAGTGAAGCACACGCAGTCTCGTGGAGGATTCACCTCGCAGTGGAATTGGAGAGGTGTCTATGTTTGCAACTGTACACCCAATGGGGGTCATTCAACTTGAAGAAATTGTGTGTATTTATATATACAATCATGGTATGGACTGAACATCCATACGTCTGGGTCTCCAACTGTGTCCTTCTTGACTTCCCACTTGTATGTTTTGAAAAGGAGATGCAGGTGATGGTGATTGACGAGTTGGTCGAGTCGTTGGAGGGCAAAACGGTGTACATTCCGATAGCACCCACCGTGGCTGCCGCGTAGCGTGGCGGGGTCCGCCCACACCGGGGTACCTGTGGAGTTATCGTTGCAAGCACTGGTGGTGGCTAGATTCAACTGCTTTTCAAAAGATGTTCTGAGTGCTGGAATAAAACACATGAATTCCCATCATCCCGGTTCTACCTGGCTAATACGAACCCAGCCCGCTAGAGCCGTACCATGAAGCCGCTGGTGTTTGTTGATGCTGGTTCTACCTTGGTATTTTTGACCAAATCTTAACAAAAGACCAAACGTTTTTATGGTTTTAACACATTTTCAAGAACGCCTCAAACATTTGCGTGTCCCAAAACCTTCATCGAATTCTTATATTTAAGACATTTTTTGCGCTCGATGTTCAATAACCTTTAAACACTGGCCGATAAAGGCCCCCCAGCTGCTGAGCTGACCTCTTGCGATTGACTACACCCCAGCACCGCCGTTTCGGTGCTGGGGCGGATTTGGGGTCTTCGGAATTCGGTTTCTTTCATGGCCCCATGGTTTCATCCAATGAAACTGGCCATGGCATCCACAAATTTTCCGATGTCAGGGAGAAACGACTCAGCTTGGATTGACCTTCCGAGGCCTCAACTGTAGCTGATCCTGCTGGTCTGTAGATCTTCAGCCGAGTGCAAAGAACTGTGCGGCTGAAATTGTCGCCGACTGGGCGAGAAAGGACGCTACGAGTGGGCGGCAGGAATTGTGAGGGGTGCAGTGGGAAGCCACTCCATGTTGTGTCCGTTTTTCTGGCTTTCAGTGATGTGAGCCGGGCTTGCGAAGCCTGAAACAGATATCCTGAGGTTCATCCACTTTGTATGGGAACGATTTGCCAGGGTGTTTGCGGTTGACATTTCATCCGCTTGGATAATTTTCCTATAAGGCAAGCAGGTCCATTGATACAATTCCCGTCATCGGCCATGGTTCCTCCTGGTTCCTCAATGCACCAAGTCAGACCCCGGAAGTAATGCCATGGTGTCAACTCAATTGGTGACTTCCAACTCGCCTCTTGGTGTCCCCAAAAGCGACCCTTGCGATTGACAGATGGCGCCCTTTCAGAGGGCGTGAAGAACGCAGATCGACGAGCGGATCCAACTTCAGTGTGAGAGGAACACGCATTTGCTGTGTTTCACATCAGCAAATGCACTGCCTTCCTCAGAACCTGACACCCTACCTGACCTACTACCCCCACTATCAGCTGCTGAAGGACCTTGAGCTTGCTTCAGACCCTGGACTGCGTCTGAAGACCTCCCGTTCCCAATGGGTTTGACACCAAAAGGGCGCCCTGCCAAGGGCCCGTGGACCCCAAGCTGGCTCAAGAGGCGGGCCCGAGGAGGTGGAAAAAGCAACTAGATGGATGTAGATCTGGATTCCCTAGGCTTGATTCGGATTTCAGGCACAGATATGCTTGATTCCCTAGGCTTGATT